CGACTCCCAGCACTCAGAATAGTGATTTAGTTAACAAACTTACATCGCATCCACCCTGTTCCCACGCCTGGCCACTCAGGTCTGATCTCGTGGTTAGGTCCAATAAGCTAGATGATAGTTCAGATGATCTTTACCTGTTCCTATCCTGAATTCTCAAATTAACGCCCCAGTTGTGAAGGCCTCTTACACACCAGACTGCAAAACACAAGTATACAGCATTGCTGATAACTTTTCCAATCCCATTGCTGGTCTGACACCCCAAATAGTAAAGCCCTTTCCTGATGTTAACTGTTTCCTGAAACCATTACGTCCGCTACCTAAAATAAAATACCCCTCATATTATGCTAACAATTCCTAAAAGCCTATTTTCATGCCTCCTATTTTTCCAACTCAACAAAATAGCTTTCCTCCTCCTGGGTCCTCCTCAAATGTTTTTCCACATAATGCTGCATCTCTAGTTAGTAGTTACCTTACAAATTTTAGACCGCAGCAACTTTGTCCTCCACCAATTGCTTCGTTCCAGCAGCTTAATTTTCCACCTCCGGCTCTTTCTTTTTTATAAGTAGCAATTAGCGGAACCTACATATTAGGAATACGCTCAGTATTGTCTCTCTCAACGCAAGATCTGTCATGCAAAAGATGGCACACCTAAGAAGTGTAGCTGTTGAGTTTGACACAGACGTATAGTGCATTACAGAATCTTGGGCTCAATCTCTAATTTCAGACTCGGAACTCAATATAGATAGCCTCAGTTTATACCGCCAGGATCGTGCCGAAAGACGCGGCGGTGGATGCCTTCTTTGCATAAGAGCCTCACTTTCACAATTGCCTTATGACTTGAACAATTCCTCCTTCTCTGGAAATTTATGTTTTGCTTCGGTAATCCTTCCGCAAAATAGGAAGGCCTTAGTCGGATCTGTATATTATCTTCCTTGTTCCTCCGGAAATGAAAGCCAACTCTGTGAACTCTTTGAAAAAATTGCAGAAACTTCTTTCGATGTCAAGATAATCGTAGGCGATTTTAATTTGCCAGAAATTGACTGGCACACACATACTTCTCTTCCTAAATTCCAGAAGCTGCTTGACACCATTTACTTTTCAAACTTATCTCACTTAGTTCACTCTTCGACCAGAAACGATAGTGTTTTAGACTTAATTTTTACTAATGGCCTCTTTTCTTTATCTATGGATTTCTATCATGACCTTTTTGAAAGTGCTCATGCATTAATCCATTGTCGCCTTCCAGTTGCCATTTCCGCAAAGCCAACAGTTCAACGTAGTATTTTTGACTTCGCTAATGTTAACCAGGAATTAGCAAATAAGTTTACACGCACCCTTGATTGGCACAGTATTTTTTCAAATAATTATCTTAATTATTTCAACAATTTATTACAATGCGTAACAGAAGGTCTTCTTGACCTTATCCCTCGGAAGATGTTCAAATCGAGTGCTACTTTCACCGCTGTCGCACACTTTCTTAAAAACAGACTTAAAAAGTTACGGAAGCAGTTGAAAGATCCTTCTGTGATCTGAGTATCAGTTCATATAAGAATCGTCGAAATATTTGAACTAGCTTCGAAAATGAGGCTCGCGCGAGATAGGCGTAGAGAGTCTCTAGCTATTAATGACGTGAATGCTTCTAATTCAGTTGCTCAGCTCTTCCGTCAAAGATCATCTGCTAAGTCCCACCAAGTCATTCCGCCTTTGCTTAGTACTAGCGATGCCTTCATTACAGAGGAGTCAGGCAAAGCAGAAATTTTAAATTTCGTCCTTTGCCAAACACTTCACATCGAAACTGACCCAATCCCTTTAATTCCTCCGTTGTCTGATGCTTCTCTTAGCATTATTAATTTTTCACCTGAAAGGATTCAAAAACTGATAAACTATATTCCTAACTCTCACTCAGTAGGTACGGGCAATATCCCAAACTCTTTTTTAAAACAGCTAAGAGATTTTCCTCCTCTGCTTAGCAAAATCTTTTCAGTATTTCTCGTAAATGGCTTCTTCCCTGACTTTTTCAGTTTATTTCAGTTTATTTGGTAAGGATAATAGGCAAAGCCTTTGAAAACCCTATTGATTACATGTCAGCTCGTTAGAATAACTGTACATGAACAAAAAATATTCACTACAAAAACAGTACTTGGTTCATTTGAGTAGCATTGTCTCAGAGAAAATATTTGTGGGGACCAGGGGTATTAGTTCGGATTCAGACCGTCGAGGGAAAACAGGGGACACAAATAATCATCCAAGCGTTTCTTGAAGAGTTGCAGGGATGTAGCCTCCACGACTGACTGAGGGAAATCGTTCCATTTCTCCACTACCCTCTGCGTGAAAAATTCAGAACGGAGATTCAGCCTGGACATTGTTGTCCGTAACTTCATCGAGTGACCACGAAGATTGGGTGAAAGATGCCACTGAAACATGTCCTCAAATTTAAGTCCATACTCAAGGCCATGTATTATCTTGTAGACGAGGATAAGATCGCCTCTTTGCTGCCTGTAACACAGAGGGAATAAATTAAGGCAATTCAGTCTGTCTGTGTAGGAATGGCTTTTTAGACCGTTTACCAGCTTTGTTGCACGCCGTTGTACCCGTTCGAGGCATTCTTGGTCCTTTAGCAGCCATGGCCGCCATGCTTGTATGCCATATTCTAAGTGGGGCCGAACAAATGTGCCGTAAACTCTCCCAAAAAGGTCTTGGTCAAAATTTACGAAAGCCCTTTTTATTGCATGCAGCACTCCCATGGCGTTTTTTGCAACCTTGTGGCACTGCAGTGTTGGTTTCAGGTTGTTCTGTATCCACACCCCGAGATCCTTCTGTGAAGATTCTGCGGGGAGCCTTATATCTTTCAGGTGATAAGTCCTCAGACTCTCATTTGAATGAGAGTTGGTTGGACGCAGATGAAGGACGGCACACTTCTCCACATTGAAATCTAGAAGCCATTTCTTCGACCACGCTTGCAGTCGGTGCAGATTATCTTGAAGGAATCTCTGATCATTCGGACCCTTAATGACTTGCCAGAGCTTAACGTCGTCTGCAAACATTATTTTGCCGCCGTCGATTTCCTGGAGGCTGTCGTTAACGTAAAGGATGAAGAGCAATGGTCCAAGAACTGAGCCTTGCGGCACACCACTGGTCACATTCACCCATTCTGACATGTCATCCCCGATACAGACACGTTGTTTCCGACCAACCAGAAACGCCCTAATCCAGTTCAGAAGATCTCGCCGGATGCCGATGTCGCTCAATTTGTGAAGAAGACGTTGGTGTGGGACAGTGTCAAAAGCTTTGCGGAAATCGATGTATACGACATCGACCTCAAAACCCTCTTCTAGAGCCCTGGTCCAGATTTCCAGACAAGCTAGCAGATTTGAGAGGCAGGAACGTCCTCTCCGGAAGCCATGTTGAAAATCCTGCAAGATGTTATTTTCTTCCCAAAATTGCTGTATAGCGTTCTTTACTATAGCTTCCATCGTTTTGCAAGGGAGGCAAGTTAAGCTTATAGGTCGAAAGCTGCTTGCTGTCGTCCTGCTACCTCCCTTATGCAATGGAACGAGGTTAGCTGTCTTCCACTGTGAGGGCAGCCTTCCTGTTCTCATTGACAGCTCAAAGAGAGTCGAAAGAGGCTTTGACAGCTCCGTTGATAGCTCCTTAAGTATCAGCCCGGGAATTCCGTCGGGTCTAGGAGACTTATCAGGTTTTATTTGACTGAGGACTCGTCTGACTTCTTCCACGGAAAAGGCGACGGTTTTAATGACGGCAATATCTTGGCGCATTTGAAGCTCCCGGCTGTCTCGGTCAATTTCAAACTGCTGATTGTCTTCTAGGGACTCTTCCGTAAAAACCGATTGAAAAAACTGAGACAGTAATCGCACTTTCTGTGACCCTTCAACTAATAAGTTTCCGAGGCTATCCTTTAGACACGCAATTTCGTCCCTATGTTTCCTCCTACTGCGGATGTACCCGTAAAACTTCTTGGGACATGTAATGGATTTTGCTATCAGTCGACGCTCGAAAGAACTTCTAGCAACCCGTATTTCCTTGCGGCATTTATTGCGTTGATCCTTATATTCGGCGAGTGACCTTGGGTCTCGAAGTTGCAAATACTTTTTCCAGAGTCTCTGGTTCTTCTTCATGGTCTTTTTTGTCGTCGGATTGACCCACGGCGGTCGCATACATGGTCTTGTCATTTTTATTTGACAATGGGAATCAATCAGACGCTCTGTAATCCCGCGAAAGTACTGCCAAAATTCGTCTGAATCTTCTGTGTTGACCAACCAGGTTTCCTCCAAAATAGTGCGTCTCATTGCGTTAAAGTCACCCTTCCAAATATTTCTGCGCGTCTTGATTTTTGGTTGTTGGTTGGATAGGAGAGAGCACACGCAGGTAAAAGCAATATGATCGCTTAAACCGAGTGGAGGTTGTGGATTCACTTCCTTTATGAGTCCTTCTTCTTTACTGAAAACGAGATCTAAACAGTTAGATCGTTGTCCTTCTCTCATTCTTGTTCCGAATTTTATGTGCTGAAGGAGGTATTCATTCAGGGAGAGTTGTAGTACCTTGTGGTCAAATGACGTGGACGGAGTGTTTGTTAGGGGAATTTTCCAGTCTATTCCTGGAGCGTTGAAGTCACCCAGAAGTAGTAAGTTCTCCTGCTTACATAACAACTTTAGTACACTAAGTAATTCCATATCGGCGATTTCATTCGAGCTGGGAGGCCTATAGACAACACACAGGTTCAGTGTCGGTAATTGTTTGATGCATATCTTGCATAAAATTATTTCAAAATTTCGGGGCGCACCAACGGATATTTCTCGTTGACCGCACGCAATTTCATTTGACACATAAATAGCTGTGCCTCCACCTCTACGGTGAAATCTGTCACAACGGAACAGTTGGTAGCCTTCAATTCTGACTTCGCTACTACTAATTTCCTCAGTCAACCATGTCTCTGTTAGGACAATAATGTGTGGCTTCTGTTCAGAAACTAGTAATCTGAGTTCATCTAGCTTGTTGAGAAGACTCTGACAGTTAGTGTAGTAGATTTCTAGACAGCGGCCACTGGTTTGAGCAGCCTCAGGAGTTGGCACCTTTGCATCGGTTAGGCTGTCAGAATGACGGACTTCGGCCAGAGAAATGTCCTTTGGACCTGAATTATTTGTTTATTCTTGATTTTTAGGTTGGAAAACTTCTATTCTTTTTACAGTATTTAAGTCTGGCTGTCGTTCTGACGTACAGATTTAACGAGGTGTCCATAAAAATCCCTATCTCGCCCAAATCTTCGAAAAAATTATCGCCGTAAAAATTACCAACTTTTGCATTGCCAATCAAGTTATTAGACCTTCCAAGCATGGTTTTTTTACCAGATCGCTCTTGTGAAACACGTCATCTGTCGTTTCTCGATCTACTTACCTCTCTTCGTAATGACCATCTATTAGTTGTCGTTATATATTTTGATCTTAGTAAAGCCTTTGATAAAGTACCACATAAAAGACTCTTGGTTAAATTGGAAGCTATGGGAATTCTCAGTCCACTAATAGACTTTCTCAGGTCATACCTGTCTAATCGTAAACAAAAGGTTTTGGTGGGATCTTCACTTTCCAGTTAAAGCCCTATTGTGAGCGGTGTCCTACAAGGTACCGTTTTAGGTCCGCTTTTGTTCTTGCTTTACATAAATGATATTTCGGCAGCAGTTAAACATTCTCAATCATTTATTTATGCCGATGATCTCAAATGTGTATATTCTTTCAAAAAATCTACGAGTCTTCATTGCCTGGAGCTAATCCATGCTGACTTGCTTGCTCTCTCAGCTTGGAGTTCAAAATGGCTAATGGAATTCTCTCCGTCTAAATGTCGCTATATGTGTTTTGGACCTGACAGACGACCCCAACCAGTGGTCTTTCAAGGCACACCTATGATTGAATGTACCACCATCAAGGATTTAGGTTTAAGCTACACTAGTAATATTGATCTCTCGCCACACGCTGACAGAATTACAGCCAAAGCTGCCCGGATTTGTGGTTTTATTTCTTACAATTTCTATCTTCCTGAAACTAAATTAAGGCTCTATCGTATGTTTGTACTTCCTATTCTCGAGTTTTGGTGCTCATTCTGTGGTCTGATGAATGAAGCTAGTCGTTTAAAAATTGGAAATGTCCAAAGACGTTTTCCTAAAAAACTTTTAGATAAGGAACATCCCAATATCTCCTACTCAGATAAATTCCAGGTAATTAATCTAACATTTTTTTGGGTTCGAAGGCTAGAAGCGGGCTTCTGTTTCCTCTTTTACATTAATAATAGTTCAAATCTTCCTCGGATTTTCGCAGTTACCCCTAGTAGTCGTCCATACAATCTTCGCAACTCGTCTCTAATTATACCTCCTCCAGCGTCCTCCACGTCTAAGCGCTCCCTTTTTTCGCTTCCAGATATACTTTCCTCTGGAATAACCTTCCAATAAATATAAGATCTTCAGAAAATCTACACACCTTTAAGAGAAGGCTACGCCTTTATCTGAATACTGACTCGATTAAACTTTTATTTTCCTCATCCTTCCCAGACACTTCCTATGACCCTGAGAGAGGGCCATCGGGAATTTAGTATGCTGCCGTTAAATTTCCTTGCTTTGATGAGACCCCGACGGGTCTTTAATTAAAATTATTATTTATTATCATTATCATTGTTACATACCGCCACACACAGGCCAGTCCTGCCCGCATTTTTGTGTAATTATCTTTATCGAGGTTTTTTTCTCCTGTAAAATTAATCCAAGCATTTTTAAATTGTTGTACGGAGTTTTTTTCCACCCCTCGCTAGTCATTTTTCTCAACGTACTACTGATTCAGAAACTATGAATTGTATTTTGTAAAGATTCTGCCCACCTCGTCTAAAATTCGCATGCAAATTTATTTTTACTTGCTTTGATTGGACCCTGACGGGTCATTAATAAAAAGAATTATTACTATCTTTGAAGTGGGCGGTCCCTCTAATATAAACAATCTACACCTCCCTTCAATACCGTTCGCGATTTGACAACGCTTCTCCGCTCGGGTGCTACATAGGTCTATGGGAGTCGGCAACGTTATGCATGGGATATTATACTTAAATGAATGGAGTGTGCGTTAATTATTTATTTGGTGTGTATTTTCCTACTGTTGCAAACGCTAGGGACAGAACTATCAATAAAGAAGAAGACACGATCGCCGGGACAAGGGCTTTATTAGCCTGACGTTTCGGGGTCCTGCTCGAATCCATCATCAGAGACAAAAGCAGATAAGAATGATTCATGCACACGCGGCTGCAGTATTTATAGGATGCAGTGGCCATGCTACCGCATACCCATGAATATTCACGGCTCTCCCCCCCCCTTCATCAGGTATCGTTGCACGTGGCGTGATGGTCGACATTCGCGTCATTAATTGCTGCAATTTCTTCACGTGCGTTGCATGTTGGTGTGATGATTGCTCGAAAATCTGACGCGCTGATCCTAGTGTTGGGAAGAGTGTTCACCCGTGCGCTCTCCGCGTGGCTAATTGCTCCGCCTAGGAAAAGTTTCAGCACCGAGTATGGAAGAGGAAGGTCATTGCACTTGTTAACAGACTGGTGGGCAGTAAACCATGACTCAAGCAGCTCCCGGCTCACGCGGTCGTCACCTCTAGCAAGAATTTCGGCCTCGTCAAATTTGAATGTGTGGCCGCCACCCGTCGAATGAGCCGCAACTTGAGAGCTGGCGTCATTTCTCTGCACCGCTGCAGCGTGTTCGGCCATTCACGTTTGGAGTTGTCTTCCGGTTTCTCCGACGTAGTTGCTTTGTCCGCAACTGCACCAGATGCGATAAACGACTGCAGACGTTTCTAGCCGTGACAGTTGGTCAGTATCAGTATCAGTATCAGTATATTTCAGGGAAAGTAGGTGTGTACCTTTGAAATCCCTATTGGTTACATGCAGAGGATATATATGGAGGAAATGGAAAGGAAGTAACATGAAAGAAGTGCGAGGGGAATAGCAAAAACTGTACAGATGAACACAGAATGTCATGCGTTAACAGAGTTTAGAGGCACATTAACTTGCTTTGTTGGTCAAAATAAAGCGGACAGTTGAGGCCCACTTAAGACACGGGAAAAAGAGGTAAAATTGTTTAGTCTACAGGCATCGTGGTGAATGCGAACAGCGGTGTGCGACGTGGCCCAAGCTTAATAAATAACATAAACATATATTACTTAAATGTTGGTAGTAGCATCGTTATAACACTAAATTGTCTGCGTTGGCTGTCAAGGTAGCCGTAGTCCGGCGTTATTGTGGTGCGCGCTACAATGCTGATCTAGTCTCCATTTAAAAGTATCTACCGAGCCTGACATAACAACATCCTCAGGCAAGGCATTCCAAGCTGCAATCACTCTGTTGGAGAAGAAGAACTTTCGGGTGTCTAGCCGGGCGCCAGCCACACGCAGTTTGAGTGGATGGCCTCTCAGGTTAG